AAGTCTTCTCCGTCGAATATTTCTGGGCAATGAGCATCGAATATTTCCCAGCAACGATGTTGTAAAAAAGTGTGATTCATTCTGCAGGCAAAAATGCGCACACATTTTCCTTACATAAACGAACTTTAATATAGTTTTCGCATTTTATGCATAAAACGTCAATTGAATATCTTTTGCTCAACTTCTATAACTGGAAACTGTCGTTCAACGAGTTTAACTCGGGAATTATTTGTACGCAAATAACGGCGAGATAAATACAAAATATATTCATGAGATCGCAAATATATTTACTTTTATATTTTAAGATACAATATATTAAGATTATCTCACTTAACAAGCAGAGCGACGACTTCCTTCGGGTATGGCAACTTCAGCATCCTCCAACCTTCTCGACGTTCTATTATTGATTCCAGCTGCTTGTTGCAAATTTTATCGAAATTGGATGAATCTATTGGAGGAATTTTCTTTTTTTCAAATAGCTGAATTGAACGCTGTAAAATAATAGAAACAATGTCATGATCAATGTAACAGCGTGTTTCTTCTTCGGAAACACGAATGTCCAACTACTACACAAGATATTTTCTTTGACAATGGTGACGGAAAACAGTAATACATTGAACCACCAAAACTTTCCTATAACGTTGACATAAATACCAAAAAGTTTGCCAATGTAACTATTAGTGTCGACTGGACCATGATTCATATACAGTATTTGAATACCAAACACCTTAACAGCTCTGATGAATGGATAAATTAAGTTAAGTGTTTCTTTATGAAAAGATAGTCATCTGCAATTAAATATCGTGGGATTCTTATAAAAATTAAAAATTGCTTGATGTAATACTATGACGCTCGGTTTACATGAAATTTAGTAAAAGATTATTCTATATTTCTGAACATGTTACTTGTAATAGATTGAAGTAATCGGAATGAGTCTTGATGTGAATATATAAGTACAGATGTATAGTACCTGTACATATAATTTCCATAATATTATCCGAATATGAAATCGATAAGTCTTAATGGAATAAATGAACACAGCGTTGTATATAATTAATGTAAGGACTATAATTTACCAATACTTCCATTAGTTTTTATGAAATATTGACACGGTAGTAATAGAGTAGAGTAGTGCGTTTAGTAAACACTAATCTGATGGATGTATTAAATTGCAGTATCATAAATTGTGTCCTAGTTTGTCTTTTGAATAATTTTCGTTGATAATATACAGGTAGGGTTTTGGTTCGGTTCGGTTTGTTTGAGTTATGGCAACGCAAATTGGGCGATCCGCCTAAAGTGATGCTTTCCGGGAGGTTTTTTAAAGGGAATCTCGCCCCTATTTAGGCGTTTACATACTGAAGAAAACCCGGAAAACTCCACGTGGCCAGTCCGTTCGAGCGAGGCACAAACCCACGACCTAACTTAGTGTTCAGGGTACTAAGACCGTTTGGCCAGTGGTGGCAGAAGGGCCGCTATCATTTTGAACGCCCGTGTGCAATACCGATTATGCCGCCCCCTATTTAACTACGACTACCTACACTGAGCTTGCCAGAAAGGCTCTTTAGTGTTGTCTCATTAGGGTGTGAAATAAGAAAAGAAATACTTTACAAAGAAAAACTATTTATTTTTATTACTAAATTATTTTTGTTTACTTACGTGTAAAACCATATAAATATTAATCTACAGAAATTTAACCTTTCTTGCCTTTATGTTTGCAAAATATGTTATCAATTTTCTTGTATCCAAGCTGTCTAAGATTTCACGTTCGATTGAAACTACAGTGGGTGATCGGTTAACGAACAGTTCGGATAGCGAACAAATCGGATAACGAACACTTTTGCGAAAGATTTTTATGATCGGACAACGAACACATGTTCGGATAACGAACACTTTACTGAAGAAACCTAAAAAGAAGCAACGGAAAATAACAAATACCGATTGATTTTCCCTTGTCTTCAAGTAACAATTCGAAATCTTTCGGAGCGCGGGAGACGTGAACATCGACGCTCAACCCGATACCGATCGGATCGTATCCCTCCGAATTTTTATTTCTGTTCTCTGAATTTTTGTAAGTGCTTTTCTGAACTATTTATTTAAAAAAAGAAACTGATAATATTATGGAGCCTAAAAAAAGGAGTGTCAAGAACTGTGCTTACCGTAGAAACCAAAGAGTTAATAGCCAAGGTAGAAAGTGGGCACAAGATGTCTGATGCTGCTAGGCAGTATGGCTTGAACAGGTCTACAGTAGGCACAATCTTATCTATGAAAGATATATCAAACCAGAATAAGGCTAATGGGGTTGGAAATCTCTACAATTACAATGCTATTAATTACTTCCGAAAAATCCTGAAGAAAAGAGAAAAGCAATCGACATTGGACAGATTCTATAACCCCCACAAACGGAAAAAATATGACTAACAAAAATGCAAGACTGCATATATATGTATTTTTATTATCACATATAAATAAACGTAGTAAGAAAGTATATATTTTTTATTTTTTGGGGTCTCCGGAACAAATTAATCAAATTCCCGTAGAAACCTATGGTAAATTGATAATCGGTTAACGAACAATTCGGATAACGAACAAAGTCTTGGAACGGATTATGTTCGTTAACCGATTACCCACTGTATAGCTAAATTACTTAGTATTTGCTGGTGCATTGTTGATCTTAAATAGTTTTTTTATTATAATTTATAACTTTGAAAAGGACCTTTCATCAAATGCAACTGAAACCGTCAATGTAAATAATATTCTTAGTGCTGTGTTCGGAAATGTTGAAATTAAGGGTACGTTCGTAAAGTCAAACGAGTTAAACGCGTTAGTAACGAATCGTTCGATTAGTAGTAGTCTCGCCCAGTGCGCATGCTCTGCGGTGATGACGTTTCGAACGAAACTCTAACGAAGTTCACGAAGGAAAGAGTTAGTTCACTTCGTTAAGAAAATGGCGTCCGACGATATCGATGTTTCTAAATCTACTCGAGTGTTTAAATTGTGAATTTAAAGGTGAAATGATTGAAATAACCGTCCACCCAAAGAAATTTAAGAAAAATATTTCGGATAAGACAACATTCATAATCTTCGATTTTAGAAACATCCATTTAGTTATAAACGAATCGTTCGAAAAGTCTAACTAAGTAAGAATAACGATGACGTCATTCTCGTTTAACTCGTTCGACTTTACGAACGTACCCTAAGTCATTAGTAAAAAGATATTGTAATTGACGCCCCCTGAACGTGCCGCCCGCGTGCGGTGCACGCATTGCAAGCTCCCTTACAACGGGCCTGACTGGTGGGACCAGGTAGGGTTTTAAGTACGTAATTTAATGTTACTTATATTAAAATTTCACATTAAAAAATTAGGAAAATTTAAAGAAGAAAAGTTCAGTTTATGTACTGTATATATTCGATTCGCCATCGATTGTAAAAATGCATCTTAAATTCAGTACCACATCGAAAAACATAAAAATATATATATAAAATATGCTAAAATGTATCTAACAAATATTTTAATTATAATATAAATTATCACAAATTAAATTCTTTCTTTATAATTAATGCGTGTAAACACTAAACATAATCAAGAAAACAGCCTTAACAGCCTACCACTTTACCTATTACATTTATAAAGCTACAAATAAGTCAAACTGATAAGAAAAATAATAACTCCTACAAGTTGTAATTAAAATAGCATTTTTGTCTAACAATTTTCTGTATTGTTCTACGGCGTTTTCACTTATTCACTAATTACGTTTTATCTGCGTTATGTTAGACTTTATGTTGGGGAGGAAGAAACGAACTCGAAAGAAATTTCGACTCTAGCATGATATAAGAAATTTGCATTTTATTCAATTAAAGGAAAAAATAACAGTAGGTAATTAATGTCTTCTGTTAGTATTAACAAAACAGAAGAAAATGTAAAACATATTACCTAATACTTCGTCTTTGTACTTAAACATATCCGTTTATAAAACAGGAAAGCAATACAGCAACATCATTAAAATTGCCACAAAATAAAATATATTAATGTAAATTTTTAAATAAATAATATGACAAAAATTTTCTAAAATGTGATTTCTGTAGATATAATAAATGAATATTTTTATATTTATTTTTATAAATTGCATATTTAAAAAAAACTAGTCGAAAATTTCTGTATGCTTTCTAATGTCCCATTGTTTAGTATTAAAAGTAAGTACAGTACCGCTATCAAAACTACCTTAGTGACGTTAGTGTAATCCCGTAGTATTAAAGAGATAAGGTACTGTAGTATTAAAGATACACCTTATAAAGCTTCTTTTGAATATGCAAACTGCTGCTGTAAAAATTGTTCCGCAAACTCGTTTTAAACTCACTGTCCTTTTAACGGAAAATGTCAGTAACCAAGTAGGAGTTTTAGACACATTTACTTCGAAAAATCAAATTTCGAGCTAATTATTTTTACGCAAAGTGTCGTAGATAAGAATGGAAAAACATTACATTTTTGACAAGGAATACAAATAACAATACCGTAAATACTGAAATTGAAATGTAAAGATCGAATAGCTTTTACAATTACAAAAAAAATTTAGTGTTAACTTTTCACACTTCTATCGTCATTAAAATGAAGAAATAAAAGATTAATGCTGTATGATTGTAATTATATTTCTTTCTCGAACATCTACTGCAATAAAAAATGAAATCACAGACGTAATTATCATTCAAATGCTGACAATTATAAGCATTGTTAATGATGATATATTTATAAATACTAAATTTTGAATCACGACAACTCTACTAATGACAATATGCTTTTCAGAAAAATAAATTACATCAACAAGGACTTTAAATTTAAATTATGTTCTATGTAAACCCAATAAATTCATTATCCCATTCAGGTACACACATATTTTGCGAAAATTTTACATTGATACAATAAGAAATAATCATATTCGAATTAACATTAAATTATATTCTCGTTTAGATTTCCCTTTTCTCCAGGAAAACTTTTGATTTCAAAAATATAAATCAACCGAAAAGTAAATATTATTCACAAGGTTTCTGTCACCGGTTAGAAATTTGTCTTCAAATTTCCTGGCATCCGTTCCTTCGTCGCTCACAAAGTAATTCAGTTCAGGTGAAAACTCGATCTCGGGTTGGCCATTTTCAGCGTGAAAAAAAAGCAAAGAAATGAATTGACCAATGTTTTTCGAGATAAATCTTCGTTTCCAGATTCGCTACTCCCCGTGGATTGCAAACGGTGTGAAACGCAAACGGTTCGTTGTCCAAATCGTTAATATACCCATATACGTATATTGGAAAACGTTCGCCAAGCTCTATTGGAAATCGAAGAGTCGTGACATAACGTTCTTCTCTCACAACCACTTTGCTGCTAAAATATATGTAACCTTTCATCCCTCAGTTTGCGACCATAAAAGGATCTCCACGATTTATGTACGAGAACAATTTACAATAATTCATTCTGCTTCTTGTGTTTGTTTCTCGACTGAAGTAACTGGGATACAAAGAAGAATAACCATACTTAAAAGCATGCCAAATATGACTCTTTTCTACTTCGCTTAACAAGTTCATTGTAAAAACAAAAGATTGCAATTCTTCTTCATTCATGGCAAGAAATCTGACTTTTTTAATAAATGGCCTCATAACACTTCTAACTGCATTCCGATTCTTTATTCATCGAATAAAAGTTGTCTGCACCAAATTTTCTTTGAACCTCTTCTATGCTCCAATAATACACGGCTTGGAGTAAACGCAATTCACTGACAGATTCGTATATCGCTCGAGATAGCAGTCTATCAATTGTTGCGATTTTACAGCACATAAAGTCGACTGTTGTGAATAGTCTTTCTCCGTGTTCGTCGAAAGCTTGCCAGCAATAATAAGTTATGACCGGATCACCGATCTTACGTGAAAAATCGTGAATTGAACAGACGGTATGCAGGTTTATTTGCCGAATGATAAATGATCTGCATTTCTTTCTTAAATGGTCTAACTCGTATCTTGAACTCAGATGATACAGATGGAAAGCGTGTGCAATACAGGTCAATCCGGGATCGTCCGTCTGTACATAACTGTTTAAAAATATAAATTATAATTTAAGACAAAGTATTGAAATTGAATGAAGGGTAAGTTTCGCGAAAAACTTACGTAACGAATTGTCTGATGGTCTGGATTAGAAAAGGCATAAACAGTACTTTCGAATTTCCAAAATATGTGATGTGATGTTGTAATTGTCTGTTCAAAACTTTATTCAACTAAGCTTCTGATATAATAATTTCTTCGTTTTTTTCGTTTTGAATTTGTATCTCACTCGAGGAAATCCTAAAACAATAGAAAGGTATTTATTATTACTTTGAAACAAACATCTCTGTTGTACTGTACGTTAGTTGTAGTATTTCCGACAATGGTGAATAAATAAATGCAAGACTAATATTTTAAAAATATTAGTCTTGCAATTAAAGTTTTTGTATTAGCTTATCATCTTAAGTTTTGATGGTTCCGCGATAATCAAGTTTTATTTCCTAGGAGCTATGGTACCAGGAAACGCTGCATTTTTTAAAAGAAAAGACATCTCTATTGTATAAACAGGGAAATATTTCAGGATATGCCCTTCAGTAGACTTGTGAGGTCCGAAAAATGAGTTGAAATTAAACATTTATTATTAAAAATTTATTAAAACGAAACTAGAAAAAAAAATCGTTTAATGTTAAAAACCGATCAATGATCGAATTAGTTTTTCTAGTAATTTGAAACCGCGACGAGAGAAAAAACTCTATTGATGTAAACAGAATGCAATAATTAAAATGATTAATAATTGTAAACGAACGATTTCCAGTAGAGATTGACCTTTGACAAGTCGCTCATATCCAAATAATTAAAACATAGAAATTTTGAAAAGAGGAAAGGCTAATGACGAAACGGGACATCGAGTCGTGTCATTAAATTTCAAAAACGTCACAGACTAGACAACATTGGTGGAAAATATGAGCGCAATTTTCAAAGTTCCATTAACATTTTGCATCCAGAGTAACGGATGGTGTCAAGTAGATTCTTCGAACTGGATCTTTCTGGTGACTCGAATAGGAATCGTCTTTCTCTTAGAGACAGACGAGAAACCAATCGGGGAGCGAGAAAAAGGGGACGTGGAGCCAATCAGAAGAAAACAAAACAAAGAACGGAGATTGATATAATCTCCGATCAAAAAGAACAATCGGGGGACACTCGGCAAGACTGCACTCGACACGACACTCGGCGAGTCAAGACAAAAGTGTGAGAAAATTGGAAATGCTGGGTCAAAATAAAACTGGAGACGAATCTTTTTCGTCTTGGTGCTGATACCGAAATCGTGCCGTCGTCGACCAACGAAGTCTCACGAACCAGATATCATCACTGCCCCGAGGCAGCATAAGCAATAAACGACTACAGGAGAATCGACGCTATCGACTTTCAAACAGCCGATTGTATCTAGACAATATTTTTCCTTAGTGTAAGTTTAGTTTTATGTTTAAAATTAACGGGTTTTTGTGAGATTCTTGTCATAAGTGTCTCCTCGGCCGTCCCACATGCGAACGACCCTAGATTATCCTAACGCGGGATTAACGATTACTCCTGGAAATCGGCGAACTTACACTGGTGTCCGAGAAGTGGAATTTTAAGTCCCCAATTTCCACCAGGTCAGCGAACGTACAGACTGAGAAGGAGGACGAAATAAAATCAGGTTAATAGAATAAAGATATCCTTGCATATTTTAAAGGAGACACTTTGTATGATAAATCAGAAATATTATTTGATTATCAATAGATATTCATACTAATATCAAAGTGACCTTTTGTTAATATAAAGATTTTTGTGTATGCGTTTTTGACGGATTATGGATGGTACTTTGTTAAATAAAAGTATCTTCGATACGTATTCTATCACTTCCCTGACTAGAATTTAAAAAAATTAAACAAAAAGTTGTTTGTACAGTTTTCGTTATAGAAAATGTAAATAATCCACGATTCGCGTGGAATTGTTTTGTAATTGTCTACAAACAATAATTGATTTTTCTGTAACCTATCGAGTTCTGAATCTCTGTGTGTATAGGTCATTGTAAGTTATACTCTTATAACTAATAATGGTAGTCCCAAACTGCTATTTCCTGGAGTTTTCCATTATTTTGTTATACAAGCCTAAAGCCTCAAAGTAAAAAATCATTATGCTAACATAATTATAATCAATCATCATCCATTCTAAAAAGTAATTAAACAAGTTCGTTAAGAGAGGAAGCTGGAAATTTTTTCTAGACTCTGAAATAAATTACGAAAGTCTAATTTTACAAAGAATTAACAATTACATGTTATATTCAGTAACAGATGAAAAATCTTAAGGTCTTGTTTTCATCAACACTTATTTCGTATATTTTAAATCAGTGATTCCCAAACTTTTTCGATCCACCACCTCCTTTGTTCCATAAAGTTATACCCAACGCCCCTAACCTATTTTCTGTTGTGTGAAAAAGGATTGGAAATATTCTTAGGAAAACTTTTCTATGAATCTCACACTTTGTGCTCTTACCGTACATTGTTCTCAACATCTGGAAACCATTAAACGCAATGTTTCCACTTATCAGCCTCAATTTTGCCTTTGGTCACCGTTCAATTCTCTGCATCCAGCGCTCACTAGATATACTCATCTCTCACAACGGTGCGTTATTGACCACTTTGAGAAACGCTGTTCTAAATAAACGGACATCGATGCTCCGTAATTAAGTAAAAATTAAACAATATCAAAAGCACTCAGCAATTAAATAAACAGAAACAAAAAAGGTGTTTTGTTTCTGTTTGTAAAAATTAAATTTTCTTATCGTGAGTATCTGACATTCACACAAAACATAATTACAAGTTTACAGTACAACTGTAAAAAAAGCCTTCAACTCAGTGTTTCTCAACGAAGGCGATATCGCCCCCATGTCGGCGTTTTTCCATTTCGAGAGTGCGTTTAGTAACAATATATATTTGGAAGGGCGAAGAACAATTTTCTGAGCGATATAGTAAAACATTATATTAAAAATAATTCGATATTTTATTCGTTATATCGTACAATAATTAAACAAATAACATTCTAGTCACTATAACTTTATACTATTTGCCGAATTTGGTATATTACGAATTTGGCGTTAGCCGCCAATTGGCCCTCGGCATCGAATTTTTGAATTTAAAGGGGCGATACTACGTAGCGGTTTTATTGAAGGGGCGATGATTCATTAGAGAATAAGAAACACTGCTTTAACTGATAAGTTATTAGTTAAAGGCCCACCTAGCGCGTGCTCGCATTGCTTGTGGCTATTCCATGCCTGGTGGTATCATATGGTTCCTTGTCGCTTACAAGGGAAAGGAGTGTATAACGTAACACTGTCGCCAATAAAATATATTATTAAAAATACTGGCATCAAATTAATTTCAATCAAATTTGTTTACAAGATGTAATTGATTTTCTTTCATTCATTCAGCTGCGTTTAACAAATAAATACCACTTTTACACTTTAGAACTCAACGTTTCACCTACTAATTGATGAATCTTAGTAATCCGCGATTTACATGTCGAGAAACACTGAACTACTCAAATTAAATCTTGTAGAAAAGATTAAGTATTAATCATTTGTATATTGAAAATTAGACAAAGCTTATTAATAAAACTTCAAAGATCGAGAATAATTTCACAAAGAGAAGGGATATTTTAATCTACTTAAACCCTTTGAATTCTAAAAGTGAAAAAGTTCATTTCTCGAGTAAGAACATTGTAAACAGACGGATATTTACACAAGGGAATAAGCTTTTTTTGAAGTTTTGCTTAGTCATTGTCTCCCGTAAGACAACTTTCGTTAATTAAATATCTTTAGTTTAAATATTCTAGAAAATTTTTGCATAAAAATTCACTAAAAGTATGTTCATTTGATGCGAACATATGTGATAAATAAGTACAAATAACAGACAGAAAATTTACTTATATCATTTATCACGTTACTTTTTACGCTTCCGATAGCAGTAAAGCATCGCTTTCTTTCTCAATTTCTTTAATTAAAGAGACACATACGATAGTCAATTGCAAAACAGGTAAAATTATTATGCGCCCACACATGTAGAAACGCTATAAACAGAAAACAATACAAGTACTTACTGACTCTGCACCTCTCCATCCGCCATTTCTTCGGTTCGTTTTCGCACTGAACTCTCGAGGTTGACGACGAAGAACGGAGATAACATGCGCTTGGAAGTAGAAAGAAATTATTACGGTAATTGGCTGAAGATGCCACATGACTTTGACGTCACCGCCTCTCCGCAAAAGCACTTAATTTTTAGTTTGCATTACTTGTATATTCTGTATATCCGACATTAAAACTGGCTTTATACGAGTATTTATTGTGATCTCACATATACGTATCTATGAAATTAGCATATAACTAAGTGGACCATTACGTGCTTACGAGTAACAGCATGACGTTCAAGTCACTTCACAATTAATTAAAGCCTTTATAATTTACATTGTAGAAAATGTGGCAGATGGTGTGGTCTGGGTGCGTTAGTTTCATAGTCACATTGTTGTTGTTTCCCGTTGGAATGAATGTGGTTTCATTTTTACACTATAATTTTTTAATTTGTTATATTGTAAGGTAGAAAAACTGTAACTCAGGTAGTAACTGTTAGAAAATGAATAAACAGCAAGGTTGGAAATTATATTATTTCTTACAAATTTTATAGTTTTACAATATTTATATTAATTAAGAATTTCTTTGCTATGGCGTTACATGTGAGAATTCAAACTGTATTTGTAAGCAAACTTTTGTAAATAATAATCACAGTTATATGGTTTCTTTCTCGTATGAATTCAAAGCTGTTTTACTAGATTGATCTTTTGTGTAAATCTTAATAATCAGATATTCCTTCCATTAATTTTAATTATAGCAATAGAATTAATTATATGCATAATTTACAAAAATTTTGAATGCAATTCCAAAAAAAAATGATACAAGATATTTGTTCCACATATTGTATTAAAAGTTTACGTGAGTATCGATCATTATATGTGCATGGGAATGTATAAAATGGGCGTTGAATAATGCATATATTTTCAGTAATGTATTCAAATATGCATAGACTGTTTAGACTGCAATTTGAACTGTTTATTTGTACATAAATACAGCAGAGTCTTTATATAGTGATCACTCGATATAATAAATAACATTATTATTGTTTGCTAGTTATCATGCATATAATTAAATTTAGTAGTAGACTTTCATCAAAAATAACTAACAGTTCTGTCTTCAATTTTATTTT